ATGGGGCTTCATAGTGCTCAACACGTGTCTCTTGTTGATTATCAACTACTTCATGTACAAGAACATCTACCTCATTTACAACTTCATGTTCATCCTCAGCTTGATCATTCTAAATATCATTTTGCATAGTGACTGGATCCTGAACCTCAACTTCATTGGGCACAGTTATTGTAGAAGTTGAATCTAAGTCGATCAAACTATCATCTTGAGTCTTTAACTTCTTTATCTTGTCAATATCTTCAATAGTCTAATACTCTACAAAGATCACATCACGGCTTCTAAAAACTTTCTTTTCAATTGGATCATAACACCTATGACCAAATTCATCTTGGGCATATCCGATGAAAATACATTGTATTGTCTTGGCATCCAATTTAGACATTTCATTTTTAGGGATATGTACAAAACATTTGCAGCCAAATACTTGTAAGTGGTCATAAGAAACATTCTTACCATCCTATACTCTGTTAGGAACATCAGTATCCAATACAACAGTGGGAGTTAGATTGATTATATGTGTAACAGTGTACAAGGCCTCACCCCAAAAAGGTCTAGGCAATTTTACATCTACAAGAACACTTCTAACTCTCCACCAATGTTCTATTCATTCTTTTTGCCAAGCCATTTAACTAAGGAGTCTTAGGAGGTGTTTTCTGATGTCTGATACCTTATTCTCGACAATATGTATCAAAAGGTCCACAGTATTCACCACCATTATCTATACGGATATATTTCAACTTCTTCCCTGTTTCTTTTTCAGTAGAAGCTTGAAATTGTTTAAATGCGTCAAGTACTTGATCCTTTGATTTCAAAACACGAACCCATAGTTTCCTGGAGTGATCATCAATAAATGTCACAAAATAAAGTGCACCATTAAATGATTTTACCTTTAAAGGACCACAAACATCTAAATGTACCAACTCAAGCAAGTCATTTTTCCTGGAAGGAGGATCGTGTTGAAAGAAACCTTTTTCTATTTTCCAATCAAGCAATGTTCACATCTGTCTAATTTTGCACCTTTCAACCTTGAAAGCAAATTCTTCTTAACCAGACAATTAAGTCATTTCTCACTAATGTGACTCAACCTCTTGTACCATAATTGAGAAGAGTAATCACTTTCAACTGTATTCACAAGATTGTTAGAGATTGAAGCTTGCAACCAGTACAAACCTGAAGATTTCTTCCCTTTAGCCACAACCAAAGAATCTTTACTGAGTTTTATTTGCCCACCATTAAAAGTGCTACAATAACCATCATCATCAAGCTTACTAGCAGAAATCAAATGTAATTGAATATTAGGTGCATGTTTAACATCTTCAAGAATTACCTTTGTCCCATTGTTGATCTCTAGACAAACAGTTCCAATGTCCACTACTTTTGATAATCCATCATTACTCATCTTTAAGACTCCAAAATCACCTGGAGTATAAGATATAAAGAATTTCTTCTTTGATGTAACATGAAAAGAAACATCACTATCAACTACCCAATTGGTTTCATCACTAGCAATATTAACCATATATTTATTACAAACAATAATAAGATTACTTGTAGTGGTGGCGTTAACACGGTCATCATTATCATCATTGCCTTTCTTTTCTTGCTTTCCTTTATTAGCTTTATTCTCCTTCTTCTACTTGAAACAATATTTCTTAATGTGCCCTGTTTTACCACAATAATGACATTCAAGATTTTTATACCTTGACCTTGATTTGCTTCTACTTTTGCCTTTGTTATGCTAACCTGACTCTTACTTTTACTTCTCCCCCTATTTTCAGTGACCAACACCTCTAACTGTGATGAGAAACCTTAAGACTTTTTTCTCATCTCTTCATTTAAGACACCTCCCTTAGCAACATCAAATGAAACAACACCATTAGGAGCTGAATTAGTAAATGAGACCCGAAAAGTCTCTCAAAAATCAGGTAGAGTATTAAGTAACTAAAGTCCAAGAATCTCATCATCAAATTTGATGCCCATATTAAACAACTGATCTACAGTTCCTTAAATTTCATTCAAATGATCAGCAACAGAACTACCTTCTTTATAATTCAATTGCATCATTTTTTTCAATTAATAGAGTTTGTTGTTACTACTCTTTGAAATATACAAGGATTCCAACTTGCTCCATAATGTTCTAGCATGCTTTTCATTGCAAACATGATTAAAAACATTATTATCAACAAATTGTCGAATAAACCCACATACTTACTCATGCTTAAAATTCCATTCTTCATCACTTTTAAATTCCGGCTTTTGAGTAGCAAATATAAGCAAATGCAGTGACTTCACAAATAGAAGGTCTTTCATCTTATTTTTCCATATGTGATAATTTGTGCCATTTAAGCAAATCATTCTATTTATATTAACTTCCATCTTTTGCTCAAGACAACTAATTCAAGTAACCAAGCTCTGATACCAGTTTGATGGGATTTGCAACGAGTGTCTATGAGGAATTCATAACCAATAATTATGGGCAATCTAAAATGTACAAAATAATCACACAAGGCACAATAATTTTAACATGGAAAACTCCTTCAATGTGAAAGATAAAAACCACGAGACCTCTCTTCGGTTCAAGGAAAAAACTTCACTATCAAAATATTAATGTTTACAGCAATTATAATCTGCCACAAGTAATCTACAATCAAAATCTCAATTACATTTCAAAAATATTTGAGAGATAATAAGGTTATGGAAAGATATTACCCAGGGTAGTTTCTATCCATACAATCTGAACACCTTCTGATTGTCCAAATGCAATCTCTACCGTCCAAATCAAAGAACGATGAGTCTACAACATACTCTCCAAAAATCAACTCAATCGGACCACAAATGACCTTCCGATCGGAAAAGATGATGAAACTGGTTTTCTGACAGAGCAACTTGAAAATAGATTGCGTTTAAGTAGTCTCAACCAAATGATTCTGACCACCAAATCATATCTCCATTGTTCAGAATCAAGAACCACAAGTGAAGAACACCCACTCCAAATTTAAGCTTGATCCAACAGTGAACAAACTTGCAAATGGTAAAAGAGTGAATTGAATACATAAAAATTTCCAGAAAAAATTTAGAAAACAACTTCTGTAAATTACTCAAAACCTAATGATTTCGATGTCCAAACAAGATCTTTATCGTTCAGATTGAAGAAAAAATGATGGAGAACACCTAGTCAAAATTTGAGCTCGATCCAACGGTGATCAAACTCACAAACATAATTCAATGAGCTGAATACTTGAGGAAAAAAAAATTTCTTCTCTCTTTCTTTTTGAGCGACGCCTTCTTCTCTAACTTGGTAGGCTATGGCTCTCTCTCTTAAAATCTAGACACACGAAAAACATAATATCTATGGCAAAGGATTTGAAACCCTACTGAGACTTAACAAATTTATTATTATTATTTTTTCTTTCACGTAGGAGGGAACCCAACATATGTTAATGTTACTATCGAGGTAAAGGAGCTAGTTCAAGTCGAGAATAGTGGCAACAGAACAAAAACTTGTGACAAGCAAAATGTGAATAAGGTCTCTATATTTGATAATTGTAGGAGAACCAGGATATTCATCAAAGCAAAAAGCATCCTCCCATTCTGATTTCTGTCTCTTGACTCGATTTCTCAATAGAAACAATAAAAAAATTTATTTTAGTAAATATTTTTTAAAAATCTGATTTGGTAAAAAATTTGTTAATATTAGTATAAAATTGACGAGGTATAGGTTCATCCACCATAACGTAACACAGAAAAAAAATAAAAGAAAATGTCAGAAGATACTGTCACATAATGAGACCATGGACAAACTGGACGATGAATGTTGTGGGTATATGGTATTACCAGTGCACCCGCGAGTACCTTATTGTCAATTACCATTGAATTATGCATAGTTGTTAAATATTGATATTGCTATTTTTGTTGTTTCTCCAACTAAATATTAATTTAGTCAAGCAATCATTCAACTTGACCTCATCAATGACGGCAATTTGTGGCTATAGGCAATATCGAGTGCTCAGCCTGACAGTGGGAGAAACAGAGATGAGCCACGTGGATTGTCCATCTTCATGTTCTCACGGATGACCAGATTGCACAAAACTATGAAGTTTAGGGACCTCATTTTTATTTTTTAATAAAGTAAAGTAAGGTGAAGAAATTACAACTAGACCCTCTAAAACATGTTTACACACAATTACATCACTAAAAAGATAATGAATTCAAGTCTTATCTCTTTTCCCCATCTTAAAGTTTTGTCCTTTAATTTCAATTTAATTAATTGATATAAAAGGTTGTCTATGGAGGAGTTGAGCCGTCCAAAGCAGTAACTCAATCCCAGATACTGGATTTACATTGAAAAATAACTATCTTACTCTAAAAAATTGACTTTATTTTTAGAATTATTTTTTGGTCAAGAGTTATGCGCTTGAGATACAAAGCTAACATTTTATTTACTGCTCTGTAATATACATATAGTTTCAATTTGCTTGAGACACAAATTTTTCTTTTTGTTCGGCTAAAAGGGCAATGACCAAAATTTACCATGGGTAAGTTGGTAAATGTCTTGCTCGGAAGCAATTTTGTTAAAATATACTTTAACTATTTTTTCAGATTCTTTCACGTTTTTTCATTTGTTTCAAGTCTAAAATTAATCATATTTTATGATATAAAATTAATAATAATATAATTATATATTTCTAAAAGTGTGATTTTACAAATTTGAATTTGATTTTATTCTGTAAATATAAAAGTGTTTTATAAATTATTTCATATTTATAGGATGATTTTAACTATTTAATTTAATTAATAAAATTACATATTATGAAATGCAAGAAATAGTGTAATAATAGAATAAAAATATCCATCCAACCAATAATACATTGGACTTAAATATAATGAAAATGTGCTGCTACCAACCCTCACCAACGTATCTTAAAAAACAAACTCTAGCTATTCATTCTTTATTTATTTATTTTCTATATTTCCATAGCTTTCAGACCTTAATATGCGCACTAGCACCTGGTCGAGGGACTCACCCTACGGGATATGTGCGCCCGCAGCGGATTCTTCATCACAACGGTGAACTCCTGTTTCTCGGACAGATCAACGTCATCTCCATCCACAGCCGCCCATTCGAAATACCACACTAGATTTGCCACGAAAAACTCCAAGTGAAGCAGAGCCAACCCTGCTCCCGGACAAACCCTCCTCCCTGCCCCAAACGGCATCATCTTTATCTCTTTGCTCCCTGTTATGTCGAACAAAGACGACGCCGCTTCTCCATCACTTTGATTCTGGTCAGCACAGGTGGTGTTAGTCAGAAATCTCTCTGGTTTGAACTCCATAGGCTCCTCCCACACTTTGGGGTCCCATCCCATCTCCGCCACCAAGAAGTTCACCGTCCCCTTTTTTGGCACAAGGTACCCTTCCAGCTCCACATCCTCCGTCACCGTGTGGGGAAGCACGAAGTGCCCCGGCGGGTGTCGCCGGAGGCCCTCCAACACCACCGCCTTTAGATACTTCATCTTCTGCATATCTTCCTCCTTTATGATTCCACTCAGCTCTGCCTCCGCTGAAATTTCCGGTGGTGGCCCTACAACCCCAGTGATCTCCTCGTAAAGCTTCGCCTGAACACGAGGGTACTTCACCAAATTCGCCATGATCCACTGCAACGCCGTCGACGTCGTGTCAGTGCCGGCATTGAGAAACTCGCTGCATATTGTCACCTTCTCCCCATCGTTCAGCTTTCTCTTCTCCTCTGGCAACTCAAGATCCATCAGCGTGTCCACGTACGCCACCACGCTCTCATCTTCCTCCTTTTTCCCCTCTTCTTGGCGTCTTTTCACAATCTCAGTTCGAGCTCTGATTAGAGGAATCAACACGTCTTCTTGATTTTTTCTCAGCAGAATAAGCTCTTGCCACCGGTTGCGGAACAAAATTTTTCCAATTCTGGGCAAGAAATTGAGTATTTGGTACCTGCCGAATTTCAGAAGCAACTCTCGATGCGCCTTCTCAATCTGCCTTATTTGCTTCTCGTCCAGCTTGTCGCCGAAACACATGAGTACAAGAAGGCAGAACATGGCATACTGGAAATGGTCCACTACCTTGACTGCCGATGATTGGTTCTCCAGGAGGCGGTGAACGAGGACATGGAGGACCCAGTTGCGCGCCCGGGAGTAGGACTTGATCCGGGAGGGATGGAGGATCTCAGAGGTGAGGTTGCGTCGGAGGAGGCGCCATGTGGGGCCGTATGGGGCGGAGCTGATGTTGCACTGGTTGCTGTTGACGTATTTGCTGGTGGCGATGGCCCTGGGGCGGTCGGAGAACACGGCGCCGTTTTGGACGAGGGCACGGTGGGCCACCTCGTGGCTGGCGATGAAGATTGCAGGTCGGGACCCGATTTGGAGGGTGACGATGGGTCCGTATTTGGCTCGGAGGTTTCGGAGGATTGGTTCAATCTCAAAAAACGATTTTCGGAGCCAGTGGAAGTTGCCGATTATGGGTAAAGTGAAAGGTCCAGGTGGGAGATTTTTGTTGGAGGATGAAGAGGAGATGATGAGGTTGAGGAGGGATTTGATGAGAGCAGCGATGCAGAGGGAGAAGACGATAATGAACCAGGTCTCCATTGTTCTGTGTTTTGCTCTTCCGCACGATTCTGTGCTTTGTATAGACGGGAGAAGTGAACTTACGGCTGGGATGAACGGGTCGTCCGTGTGGAAAGGATGAGGCGTGGCAGCAAACGAGAAAGCGAGTGATGCAAGAAAATCTTAACTAATGGGATAAAAGTCCAACTGATGAATGAACACGTCCGTGTTTACCATTTTCCGTTACTCTCAGTCTCTATCAATTTCCATTTCAAAAACTACACTCATGGAAGAAAAACTAACACGTTCGTGCACCACTGGTTGGGGGGATGGGGGTGTTGTCTGCCATTTAGTGCGAAGGGTCTAGATATTTTTTGAGAGATTAAATTTTAAAATTTAAAATTATGCATAATTAAAGAAATAATCAAGGTTAGTTAAAATAAAAAAATTTGAGGGCCAACAAAAACTGATAATACCGTATAATCTAACCTAATAAAGCACAGGAAATTAAAATATATAATATGTTATAATTACATAGTTGCGAAGTCATAAAAAGTCAAATAAATAAATATATTTTTCTTTTAGACCATTTTGTTAAATTCTGACGCTCTAGAGAAAGAAAAACATCAATAAATAATTGATAACTCGTGCCTTTCCCCTTTTTACTTGATGTTACTATTTTTCACAGCTTAAAAAAGGACCATTTTTGACTCGCAATGTCCGTAAAAAAATGCACTATTTGACGGATATTAAACCGTCAGAAAATTGAAAGTTAAAAAGATTTTTTAATAAAAAATTTTGGACGTACAAAATTATCAGAAACGAAAAATTTATTTGTCGAAAACTTCTGCCATCAGATTGGATATTCCGTCGCCGGAAGTTTGATTTTCCGCGGACAAAAATTTTTTTCCAGTAGACCTTGTCATCAGATTTTTTAAAAATCATTTTCCAACAAAATTTTCTATCAATTTTTTTCTTCAAATTAATTCATATTTTCAATAAACTTTTCGGCTGAATTTGTTTATATCTAATATGTTATAATTACTTAGTTGCGAAGTCATAAAAAGTCAAATATGCAAATATATTTTTTTAGACCATTTTGTTAAATTCTAACACTCTAAAGAAAAGAAAAACATCAATAAATGATTGATAACTGATACCTTTCCTCTTTTTACATAGTGTTACTATTTTCCACATTTCAAAAAAATTTATCTATTAGAGACTTTTTCCATGAGATCAGATGTCTGGTCATTGGAAGTTTCATTTTCCGCGAACAAAATTTTTTTTCAATAGACCTTGTCAGTCAGAATTTTTAAAAATTTATTTCCAATAGAATTTTTTGTGAAAACTTTTTTAAAATTAAATCGTATTTTCAACAAACTTTTCCATTGGAAAATTTCTAACGCAAATCAAAAAAATAAAAATGTAATTTTGTATTCCTCTCATAAATTAAAAATCAAAAGCCATCTTCCTTGAAGGCTTCTGCTGCTCTTTGTATCTCAAAACCCTTTTTATATTGTATATTTATTATATGGTTTGGTTTTGTCTTGTAAGGATCTGCTAGAGATAATTATTAGTTAAAAATAATTTTTAGGGATTAGGAATCATTTTGGAGTTGGGCTTTATGATAACGTTTGTTTAGGTTTAGATTTATCTTCGTGTTTGTCCGGATGATATAGAGTTATGTTATTAGACTTTATTTATTAGAACTCATTGAATGGTAAGACCACAAAAATAAATTTTTAAGTGTTTGGCTTCGGCTTGGTTTTGGAGAAAGTTATCTCTCTTTTTGGATAGTGTTATGTTATCAGCATCAATTTCTTTTAGTTTACTTGAATTATTATTTGAGTACTATCTTTCCTCTAATAAAGTAATTTGTCTTGCTAGATCTTGATCATGACTAAGTCAAGAATGCAGGGACATGTTTAAGCGTTAGAGAAGATCGTATAGGCCCTTGAATCAAAATTCGAGGCTTGTATGGACAATATTGGCAAACAGCAATGTGAATTTTTTGAAAATATGGAGTCTCTCATGACCAATTTCTCCAAATCACAACTTGTGGTTGTTACTCAATTAGGATTAGTTTCAATTTCATTCGCCTCTCTAGGCACTATTGTTCCATCACCACCACCTTCTTTGGTTCATTTCCACCAACATCTTCCTTCCCAATCCCTACCATTCTTCCATCCCCAATATCTTCTCCCAATGTGGAACTGCCACCATTCGATGGTATAGATCCATTTGGTTGGCTCCTTCGGGCGGAACAATTTTTTGAGATGAATGAAACTCGCAAAGATAATAAGGTGGCTCTTGCTTTGATTAGCATGTAGGGAGATGCCCTTCACTAGTTTAGTTGAGTGTGACAAAGTCACCTGAATATGACTTGGCACATACTTATGGTAGAATTAATTCAACTGTATGATGCTCACCAATCTTGTAATTCGTTTGAGTGTTTGGCTACCCTTTGCCAACATACAACAGTCGAGGACTACACTAAAGAATTTATCCCTATGGTCACCCAAGTTTGAGGTTATTTGAGCAATATTATTTAGGGTATTTTATGAATGGTTTATAGGAAGGAATCCGATCTCACTTGCGCACTCAATCACCAACCACTCTACATATGACCATGGACTTAGCTCATTATATTGAGGTGGATTTGCATATTAATGGCAACCTGACCTATAACCCAATTTCTTTTAATTCCACAAGTCACCCAAATCACTTATAGAGGCAGCCTTCTGTTCCTTCAACATCTTCCACAATAGTAAGGCCTTGCACCATGCAGAGCATGAGAACTTTAAGCATGATCGATTGGCTCATTGTTGTCTCCCAAAGTGCCACCACTTTGTTAGCCACCCACCTGCCTCAATCATGGCAATAGTTGTTTAATTTCGGCCACCTACTACCCAATAAATTACGGGACCTCCACAGCAAATGCCCCTTTTTTTATGCAAACAACCTTACATGCCTCTACATCACTGCCCAGATCATGAAATGTGCAACATTGAGGCTCACACCAAGAAACTACTATTGAACAATTTGGGTTTAAGCATTTTGGGCCAGTGGTTTAGGCTCAACAAGTTGTTAGGGCTAGTAGTTCTCGGGTCATTACAAATGATATCAGAACAAAACGATCTTCAGACCAATTCTGTTTGGATTCGAATATAGATTTCTGACTTAACGAGGACGTCAAGTGTTTAAGTGGAGAAATTGTGACATCCCGTCTCATATCAGTTTCTGAGAGAAGTCTGATATGATATATAAGAGACTAGAAATTATTACTGAACAACTTAGACTTAAGCATTTTGGACCAGTAGTTCAGACTCAACAAATTATTAGGACCAATAATTCTCGGGTCGTTACAGAAAACTACCGACATCCCCTGACAGTGTGTGTTGTGCTTGTTACAGAAAACTACTACCATCCCTTGACAGTGTGTGTTGTGCTGCTTGTTAAAAACAGCAGGTTGATGGCTGTGTCTGCTCTACTTCAACTTCTCTAAAATCTTAGCTAATAAATAAACTAAATTGATGAACAATAATAAGGAGCACAAAGAAATCAAGAATATAGATTTATTCCAATTGGGGTGGAGAATTTAACTACTGAGTTTTTTAAGCTGTGTCTTATGTTATCCTACCTACTAGCATCTATCTGATTTTTGATGGTATGAAAATGTGGATGATAGGGAATGCCTTGATGAGCTCATGGAGGCCATATCCAGCTTGACTTTTGCAACTTCAAGGTGCGGAGAAAATGTGGATGATAGGGAATGCCCTAATGAGCTCACAGAGGCCATATCCAGCTTGACTTTTGCAGCTTCAAGGTGCGGAGAATTACCAGAGCTTCAAGAGATTCAAGGGATCTTCACCTCAAGGTATGGGAAAGATTTTGCAGCTCGTGCTGTGGAATTCAGAAACAATTGCAAAGTGAATCCTAAGGTATGGTGTTGACTTTGAAGAGTTCACGGATGGATATTGCCAGAAGATTTTCTCCTTCTAATAATGACGTAATGTCTCTCCAGACCGCACATAAGCTCTCTACAAGACAAGCAAGCTTGGAAAGCAGAAAAAAGTTGCTGAAGCAAATCTACTCTAACAATGGTATAACTAACACAAAAAAATCAAATAATTTTTTATATTTAGTGATTTAATTTAAAAAAACTTTCATTAATAACTATCTGTAATTTTATATTCTTGATTTCATAATAGATTAGAAATAAATTAAAAATTATATGAAAATAAATGAAAAGTCAATTTTTTTTAATTAAATTTAACATGAAACTATTAATCAATTTAATTAAATAGCTACCATCATTAAGGGTTTAATTACCTTATGTATAATATAAATACTTAATTAATAACTTAAAATCTAATTATTTAGAAGTTTAATAATTTTATATATAATATAAATAAATTAATAAATTATTATATACAATACACCAGTACGATATAGGTCAAAGCTTAATTTTATTTTTTTTAAATATATACTTATTAGTTTATACTTATTTTTCAGTTGAAAGTTGAGAAATAAAATTTAATAATTTTTATTTTAAAAATTGAAATTTAATTCTCAAGTATTTTTATTTATTTGACAATGGTAATTTTTTAAATTTAAGGTTTTTGATAAAAACAAAGTCTAATGATTACTTCAAATTTCTTTATATGTAATTCTTTTTCATTTAATTTTTTTCCTAGCACTATTTTTTAGATTTTTTGAGTAAAATTTTTTATTTATTTACAATGAAAAATGTATTTAAGAAATTTTTTTTCCAGTTAAGACTTCCTATACACTAGATAATTTATAAAATTTAAATTAGGTGATAAATTGATAAGTCATTCATTACATTGTAACATAAATTTGATAAAAAAAGAAAAATAAAAAATGATCTCATTCTCTAACATTAAAATATTAAATTTATATATGTGTGTGTTCATATGTATATATATGATAAGTTATTTATATTAATAAATTATATAATATATTATGTTATATAATTTATTATATTATACTAGATATATATAATATATAATCAAATTATA